CAGGAGTTTGAACGTACCCGACAGACAGTCCGCCCAGGATGCATTTGTCTGCTGGATAATGACTCATCACGACACCCAGAGTTAGCGATACCATGAGAAAAGTGGTCCACTTTACTCACACACAACCGTGCAGGAGGTGGTTTGCCTGTGTGAGGTAAAGACGCCGGAGAGACAGGTTAATGTGGAGGGAAGCGCAAAGGAGAGGGAGAGAGAAGGCAGGAGGACGACTAGAAAAGGGCAGAGGATGAGGGAAATTGGACAGCTTGGTAAAGAGAGCAAGAGTCAGCCAGGGGAGTGGTGTGGATGAGGGAATTAGAGGGATCTTTTTTTTTTTGAAAATTTCCCTAAGCTCGATCTATGTGTGTCATCCTTGTACAAGGGCGATGCGAATCTTCTTCAATAATGATGATGAGCTCTCCAATCGTAAATGATGAGGGGATGGTGATGGGATTGGAGAGCTTTTTTTTTTTTCTTCTTCTTAGTGTGGCGTGATGGACCACGGGTCAGATATTAAACTGATCAGAACAGATACTACACTTGATCTTAGCCAAAAGGCTGAGAAAGGTATAATTTGGACCATTTCTGAATTTTTGTGTATCATTCTTGCAGGGGTGATGCTTCTCTTCTTCTGTGATGATGATGACGTGGATAATCCACGATGGTGATGTGGATGGTAGATTATGACGTGGGTGGTGGATGATGATGTGGACGATGATTAAAAGGGATAGTACTAGATGATGACGATATTGGGGAGTACTAGATGCCGTATAGGTGGGAGATGTCAATAATGGGTGGGGGTAAGGGATGGGCACAAGATCCATCAGCACAGCCTAAGGGATGGGTCGTGACTCTTGAGTGAGGGGTATGGGTGGGGGGCAGGGCGGGCAAAGGAAAGAAGAAATAGATGTGCTTATTTAACGAGGTGGAGCCGGGGCTTTGCCCCTGCTTCTCGATCCATAGCGACTTTGTTTTTTCATCGTTGATGTTGGCTCTTCCTATCATTGTGAAGCAGAATTCACCAAGTGTTGGATTCTTCACCCACCAACAGGCAACGTGAGGTGGGTTTGGAGAGGGGGGAAGGKGGGGGGGGGGAAGTAGGGGGGGGAACCAATTAATCAATCAATCAATCAATCAATCAATCAATCAATCAAAAAAAAAAGCCAACCAATCAACCAGCCAACCAATCAAGAAAAAGAAGAAAGAAAAGCCAACCACAGTTCAGCCAACTCTCGGCAGAACTCAGAACCAATATCTCCCCGCCTCACAGTTCGTCTGATGACTCAACCCGCTGCCTGTTCTGTAAACTCAGATTTACTACTACTGCTAATCTCAGTATGACCTCTGTGTGTGTGTGTGTGTGTGTGTGTGTGTGTGTGTTTGAGAGAGATGCTGGGCGGGAAACGGGACGAAACCCTCATATCACCTCGTCTGATCCATCTTGGAATGCATCTGAAAGACCACCAAACGGACTTCATCTGTATTTTTCATGAAAGGGGAATGGTGTGACTAGACCCTCAGCTTGCTTTTGGGTGACCAACTGTGATTTGCGGAAAATGTGTATGATTAGAACCGTAACCATCTATCTCAGAGCTCAGGCATCACATTAACGACATTGATGTATTGGCACGTTGAATGAGTATGCCCTCATTCTACTTCATTATTACCATGCTGCCAAGTTTGGCTCTTGTTATCATTTTTTATACCCCCATGAGTTACAGAACCCGGGCAACCACCAAGCCCTTGAGGCCGAGTTCGAAACCTGAACCCGAGTTCGAAACCTGAACCCGAGTTCGAAACCTTGATAGATGAACCCAAGTTCGAAACCTGCTTCATCTATCAAGAATGGTACACCCATCAACTCTTGATAGATAGACCCGAGTTTGAAACCTGCGAACAGCAGTTAAAAAAAGAGAGAAAAAGAGAACCAGGTCTTCCGCTCGTGATGGTTGTGTAACTTGTGTCGACTTAGGGCCAGATCCCACTGGCAAAGAGGATTGGAATGAGTGGCTGAATCTGGACGTGTTCCACACAGAGATGCAGAAAAGCAGATCAATCACAATTTTTTGCCCCTCTCCACAAACATGTCCAGATTCAGAGGCTTATTCCAATCCTTTTTGCCAGTGGGATCTGGCCCTTGCTCACGCCCTTGTCATCAGTTTCAATTCTTTTTTTTTTTTTTTTTTTCTTTCTTTCGAAAAATCATGTCTTTTTTTATTAAGCTGGGAAACGGGCCCGGCGTCCCTTACAAAAGATAGTAGCAGGCCGAATTCCAGACCCGGCAACTCCGGCCGGATATGGGTCCGGACTGCAGGAATGTCTGCAGGAATGTCTCTCCCAAGTAACAACATGATAGAGGGACAGATACTTAAAACGTATACCCCAACATCTACCCTAGCCCACCCATTATACCATCAATCGTGTGGGGGAAAACTAACTATTTCAAGCTGTTTGGATCTATGAGTACAGCTATGAGTACAGCTATGGGTACAGCTACGAGTACAGTTTAAAAGTAACATCCAAACGAGCAGAAGGAAATTAACAGTTTGAAGGTACGATTTACCATTAGAACTAAACATTCATAGAACTAATTTTTTTCATAGAAAAGGAAGAAGCTTGTAAGGTAGTAGCTTGTAAAGAAGATAAAAGATCTGTTACCAAAATGAAAACTTTGTCAATGTGTCAATTATTGTCCGTGAGAAAACTAGGGTGCAGTTAGGGTTACAGTTTGTAATTGCATTTGAAACTGCGTTTTAGCAGTTTAGTCAGGGCCCGAGTTTCAATTGTTTTTTTTTAGCAGTTCAGTCAGGCACATGGCCGTTTCTTTCTTTTTCTTTTCTTTTTCCCTTTTTTTCCGGTCGCGCGCCGCACCGCAGCTGGAAAAAAAAAAAAAAAAAAAAAAAACAGCCCCATGGTTGAGCCACGGCTGCGATGTCTCGGCCACACCCTAGACTGGCCACGGCCACAGCCGAGATTAAACCACCACTACCCTTCACAGGCAAACGCGGAGTCTCAAGAGTAGCCGAAGAAGTGGGGGGCTCGGGGCAGGGATGGAGGCCAGAAAAAAGAAAAAAGAAGAAAAAAAATAGTAAAGAAACGAGGAACTTCGAATCCACCTACGTGGGGCGAATCCACCTACGTGGGGAAGGTCCTCACGTCACCAGTGCTTTGAGGAATGTATCTGGCCAGGACGTGAGGAACATGAAACAGGTCATTTTCCTTTTTTGTTTCTTGTTGTGAGGTCCTTGTAGCGCCCTGCCAGCCAGGCAGGGCGGATTTCACGCGAGGCAGCTAACTGCCTCGCTTCATTCAGTTCCAGACAAGTACTGTAGCATCCTGTATCGGACCGCAATCACAGCATAAGGGATGCTTTTTTTTTTTTTTTTTTAATCTGCTGTTCGAGGGCCCTGACTGAACTGCGTACGGCCGAGTTTCAACTGCAATTGAAACTCGGCCCCTGACTAAAGTGCGAAATCTGTGATGACCCGGGACTGAGACACAGCTGATTTCTGAGTTCTGCTCGTGGAATGAATGCCTTGCTGGGTTTGCCAAGTCTGTGTGTGTGCGTGTTTGCTGGTCTGCATGTCTGTCTGAGTGCTTGTGTGCTTGAGTGTGTGTGTGACCCGTAAGGGCACTTGTTCGTCCATTGGGCCCGTAGGGCCGGTACTTACCTGTGGCCGTGACATAGAGGGTTGCAGCAGGGAAAAACACTCGAGTGGCGGGAAGAGGCCCGCAGCACTTGAAGCAGCGTGAAACACTCAAGTAGTAGGTAGGCCGGTACCACACCCCGAAGAGGGAGATGTGCCGGGTACTTGAGGGCCGAGCAGAAGAAGACAAACAGTTGGGCATTTTTAGAGGCCTGTAGTAGTAGGCTAGGCCTAGGCGGGTACCAGTCCAACCAGTCTGAGTCTAGAGCCTGTACGGGTAATATCAGAGTCTGCAATGATGTTTCCCTCCGAAAAGGAGGAGGCACCGGTTGCTTGGGAGGCCGAGCGGCCTGGAAGTCACCGGCCAAGAGGCAAGCAGGCCGCTATATCTTCCGGCTGGGCGAAGAGCCCAGCCTCATTTCGGTGTGCAAAGTTTGGCGACACACTGGTTGGAGCACCGGCTGGAGCAGCACTTAGGCGGAGCAGCGCTGTTCGGGAGGAAGAAGAAGGACAAGGAGGAAGAAGAAGGACAAGGAGGAGGAAGAAGGAGAGGAAGGGGGAGGAGCGCCAGGGGTACTTACCTGGCTATGGTGGCAGCCATCTTCATCATCTTGGTGGGCGCTGCAGCGAGAGGTCCCCCTCGGAGGGGGAGAGCTACACCAAGAAGCTTCGAGGCAGAGTGGGCATGGCGGCCTGAGCTGTAGCAGCCATAGCTGCTTTGTGTTGTCCTTTGGACATCACGGTTGGGCCAGGCAGCCATAGCCGCTTTGTGTTGTCCTTTGGACATCACGGTTGGGTATAGTAGTCCGCCATAGCCTCGGCCTATGCGAGTGAAGAGGAAGGAGAGGCGGCCATGGCTATGGAGGACCTCATGTGATACCAGCAGTAGAAGAGAGGACTTGGACATTGATTCTGGATCAGCCATTCAACATTGTTATTATTATTTCTTGTTTGAATATGAGAAGGGGAAGATAAGGAGGAGGAGAGAGTTTGGCGAAGAAGAAGAGCTTTGTCATTTGTCAATGCTGGTGTACATCATCTTCTTCTTTCTTTCTTACTTCTTCTTCTTCTTCTTACCCTCTCATCTCTCTCAAGTTCATTCATTTCTCTTTGCAATTGGACGGCATTGTGCTATGTGATGAATGTGTACTTCGAAATTGGTCTGGGTCATAACAAATCAGTGTTTTGAATGCAATTACAAACTATTTTCGTGACTGCGCCGAAGTTACCCCTTTTTTTTTGTTTTGCCGGTGAACTCTTGTTCATTGTAGTGGAATGTGTGACATCTCTCTTGTTCGCCATCAAGCTTTTTTTTTTTTTTTTTTTAGTGTGGCCAGATGGACCACGGATCAGATATTAAACTGATCAGAACAAGTACTACACTTGATCTTAGCCAAAAGGCCGAGAAAGAAAATTATTTGGACCATTTCTGACTTTGTGTATCATCCTTGCAGGGGTGATGCTTCTCTTCTTCCGTGATGATGATAACGTGGATAATCCAAGATGGTGATGTGGATGTTAGATTGTGACGTGGGTGGTGGATGATGATGCGGATGATGAGTAAAGGGGATACTACTAGATGATGACGATAGTGGGGAGTACGAGATGTCGTATAGGTGGGAGATGTTAATAATGGGTGGGGTAAGGGATGGGCGCAATTTCTGCAATACTTCTCCTAAACATAGATCCCGAACGTCGGTTATTTAGCAGCAGTATTGCCAGTGGTAGTTGCTAGACTGAGGGTATTACGAAGAAGAGTAGTCTTTGGTAAACAAGTTTCTCTTGCAATCTTATGAATAGACTACAAATTTTTCAATACTACTGTAACCTATTCGAAGATGGTATCCGGCGCAAACCATGTGCAAAACGGTGCACACTTTCTGTCCTTGATTCGATTGTAAGACAGTTCGCATTGGAAATCCCTGAGACTGTGGATGCGCAAACCTGTGTTGATTTCCTCTAACTGTAGTTGCCTCTCTCAGTGGTCTGTTTAGGTAACTCTCATATATGCAGCATTGCACCACCCAGCCCACAAAGCATCACTCACCTACCTGCCATTGTACCTCCCTGGCCACGTAGTACCATCCAGTCCACATAGTTTGACACACCCCACAGCCAGGCCACCCAATCCACAAGTTACCACCCAACCCACGTAATACCACCTAGCCCACATAGTACCACCCAGCGGTCCCACGGTGTGCTCTTTTTTTCGTGATGTGTGAGAATCGTGTGTGTTTGTGTGTGTGTGTTTCAAGTACTTGGGGGGTGGGTTTTCCTTTTCTTTTGGGTTGGGGAAGGGGGGTTCCTGGAGCGGCAGGGCCCATCCCACACAGAATCACACGGAGAGAGAGAGAGAGAGAGAGAGAGAGAGAGAGAGAGAGAGAGAGAGTAGCGTGTTGGACTCGTGTTGTGGGAGAAGATCTTCAACAGGGGGGCGGTCATACTGCTGCAGTTGCAAGTGATAGTTTCTCCTGCTATCCCTTACAAACTGTTGTTCTTTCTACTAATTGTGGACTTGTAGCTGGCAGTGTTATCGTTGCTACTGCTAGTCTGCTGCCTCTGATACTGCTGCTTCCTCTGATAATGGCAGTGAAGGTGCTGTTACTGTTGTTACTACAGTTGTTGTTGCTGCTGCTGAGTGTGCTGACCCTGCTGCTGCTGTGCTGCTGACACTTGTGTTGCATGTCTTGCTGCACCTTCTCTGTGTGACCACTAAGGAGCCAAGATCCATTGGGTTGCATGTCAGATTCTTTCGAAATACCATTAATTTTGTTTACTGATTCAGTCTTGCTCGGGTTCTGTGAGCACTAAGGATCCAAAATCCCAGCGGTTGGATTGGGTCATCCTGTCATGGAAGGGATTCAATTATCATCAATTATGTTATCCAGTATTGATTGGTTCATGCATTCATTACTAAATTGATTGATTGATTGATTGATTGATTGATTGATTGATTGATTGATTGATCAATTCGGTGATGTAATTGCTTTTTTGTTCCTGTCAGACGAGTTCATATCTTCATGATGGTTGAGTCTTTCGATCGTTGGATTCATGTTGGTTATAGCCCCAGGCTTGTATCCGAACGAACCCTTGTTCCTCGGCCATCGCCACCATCGACTTGCGTCGTTTTCACTCCATCAACGCGGGCTTGAGGTTGTTGTCAGTTGTGGCCTCGCCAACAACACCAATCGTCTCCGTCATCGTTCGACAGAGGTGGGTCTTTCATGTATTTCACACCTTTCCTATACGTCCTCCTCCACCTGCTTGTTGTTGTCGTCATGATGCATGTATGCGTGTGTGCGTGTGTGTGTG